CTTAAGTGGGACCACCAGCTCAGGAGAACTGAGCAGAGGGGTCAGTGTAGCTATGTCCAAGCCTTTAGCCCGCTCACAGCAAAAATCCGCCTTTCACCTTTCTCTGTCCCGTACCAGCTGAGGATCTCCAAGCACTGGAAATGGTTTCAGCCCTGATAGCTGGGGCTGCACAAACATATGGCAAGAGATAGGCCCAGCTGAGAAGAGCTGATGTTACATGGGGGAAACTGAGGCACAGAGACGGGCCGGGACTTTATTCGTGTGACAGTTACACCTGGCCCACCTGGACCCTGGAGCAGCAGGGGCAGTAAATGGACAGAGGAAGGGACAGTACCTGCCCTGCAGAACGTATAGGAATAATAGACAGAGGGAGGGAGGGGAAACTGAGGCACAAAGAGGGGCAGTGACTTGCCCAAGGTCAGCCAGCTGGTGGGTGGCAGAGCCAAGAATAGAGCCCAACTTTCCACCATCCCAGACTTGTGCATTCATCACAAGAGCATTATTGGCCTTGTTCTGCAGAGAGACGCTTGGGACGTTTCTTGCTCAGGGGCACGCAGTGAAAACGCTTGTGTCCCGATGCCCAGTCCCTTGCTGTCAGCAGTGGCTCATGCTCCTTCCCCTCCACTCAAGCCATGCCGCCTTCCCCGTCTCCAGGGCCTGCCATCCCGCGGTGCCCTTTACACCGTCAGGCCTGATCTTCGCCCAGGGGGGATTTTTCCTGAGCCGTTCAATTTGTCTTGCTCGTTATTCTGGGGTTTAGTTTGGTTTCGTGTTGTGGTTCTCGGGGAAGACTCCTCGTCCTCTTTCAGCTCCTGCCCTGTGCTCCTCTTCCCCTTGTGTTCATGACTCGGGCAACGTGGTTTCTGCCATTCCCACCCCCCTCCCCTGCCCTGGGGCGTGGGGCTCGGTTTCACCGCCCAATAGCTCTCTTCTGAGATTCAGCCTTGCTCAATTTCACCTCATCGCTCCTAGACGTCCCAGCAGGTGAAGGACGGGGAGGGGGCGAACGAGCTAATCGAGTACAAAGGAAGGAGTCTCTCTCACCGCTCCCTGCAAGGCAGAAAAGCCAGGGGCACCTCCAGAGCTGGCGTGTTGTTTGGCTCTGTGAGTGCATGTCGAGGCCCATGCATGTGTGGGTCAGCCTGGGTGTGGGCATGTCTGAGGTCGGGGTGAATGTGTCTGGGTGTGGCACTGGGTGCGTGTTGGGCATGGAGCTGCCTGTGGGCTGGAGGGGTGTGCGTGTCTGAGCACACGTGTGTGCTTGCATGTTCTTTCATGCCGGGGTGTGTATGTGTTTGTGGGCCTGCGTATTTACACGGGTGCAGGGGCACGGCTAGGTTGAGTCATGCACGGCCTGCTGGCGTGGGCATGTGTGCCAGTGTGTGCACCCGCTTGGGGGCCTGCACATGTACACTTGTGTCCTTGCATGACTGTGCAGTGGGCTAACATATCCTGCTGGGTTTGAACCGCCGTGTGTGTAACGTGTGTGCGTGTGTCTGTAAGGTGGTGTACATTGCATGCCGGCATGCGTGTCCTCATGTGACGAGGATACCGCGGCTGCCTGTGTGGCATTAACGGGGGCCGACGGTGCCCCCTGACACTACTGCTTGTATGGGCCCACGCAGCGCTGTATGTAGAATGCATGTGGTGCGTGTGCATAGTCAAATGCACATGGCAAGGTGTGCGGTGGGGATTGCCTCTGTTGCTGTGGGACAGCCTGGGCCTGCTGTCTCCTCTTATCCGTTTACTGGAAAGCCCTTTCCCTGCGGCATCTCCTGCCCTTTCCGAGGGACTCAGACACCTCCCAGGCTGTTCCCACCTCTAGCTGCTGGGGAGCTTTTGATCCAGTTTCAGGATGGGGGGGGGGAGGCCCACTGGCATAGGGTGACCAGACAGCAAGTTTCAGAGTTTCAGAGTAGCAGCTGTGTTAGTCTGTGTCTGCAAAAAGAACAGGAGTACTTGTGGCACCAATGTGCTAGTCTCTAAGGTGCCTAAATGTTAGTCTCTAAGGTGCCACAAGTACTCCTGTTCTTTTTGCAGACAGCAAGTGTGAAACATCAGGACGGGGGCGGGGGCGGGGGCGGGGGCGGGTAATAGGTGCCTATATAAGACAAAGCCCCAAATATAGGGACTGTCCCTATAAAGTCAGGACATCTGGTCACCCTATACTGGGATCTCTTCTTGAGATGGGGAAGGGCTCTGAAATGTCTAGAACCTGGGTTGTTTTAGCAACCCCTCCCCCCCTTTTGGGGGTTAAACTCTCCTTTTTCAAAGGAAATGCAACAAACAAAGGGTTAATTGCTATTATTCTTCTACATCTGACAGCAACAGTTAAAGGCCCTGCGGGAGATCAGGGCCCCATTGGGCTGGGCACTGCACAGACAGAGGTGAGGGACAGGGTATATTCTGGCCCCAGAGTGCCCACTACATCCTGGCATCAGAACCAGGGAAAACCAGGGAGGGAGCGGGTGGAATCAGTTGAGGGGAAGGGTCTGAACTTGGTTCTTTGCCTCTGGTGCCAGGGAAGCTGCTTCCAGGTGGCCAGAGGCCGCAGGTGAGCAATCGCGCAGCAGCTGTGGTCTTGTGGGTGCCCAGGACAAGTGCCGCAAAGGTTCAGAGCTGAGCAGAACCGATCCCCTGCAGCAAGCGCTTCCAGGATTAATGGCTCCGTGGTCCCGGCTCACGAGCTGCCTTTGACTCCAAATGTCTCCAGGTTGCCGACACACCAGGTTTTTGGTGCTTTTCTGGGTTGTGGTTCGAATGGCAGCTCTTGTTTAAACAAAAGAAGGACCCGTCCAGCCCTCGGAGGGATGAGAAAAAGTGGGAAAACCTGACCCCCCGAAGGCTCAAAACCCCAGAAGGTGAATAAAGAGAACCACACATTGATTGCTGTAAAAAAACTCGCAAGTTTTTAAACCAGCCGTGTGATTTTAAAGACCATCCCATGGTTTTTAGGCCAGTCTCCTGATTTTTTAAACCAATCTTATGATTTTAAAGACTATCTTGTGTGATTTCCGGGGGCCTGTCTTGGGAGTTTTGAACATTTGGGGCTGGCCATACTGTTCACTCTTCGTCCATTGGTCGCATAGTTTGTTGAATTTTTTTTTATTGCCATAGGCCAATCACAAATATAACCTCACCTGTATCACTAGGCTGTTGTCATGGAGATAAGCCTCACGGTGTTGCCTCTGTGCCCTGATTGGTTGAGTTCGTACATGTAATTTGCCTTCCTGCAGATTCATGCCAATTAAACTCCAAGCGCATGTGCTTAAAAATTTGAGCCGATATTTGCCCAGCTTTGGTGTCAAGGTCTCTTCCCAAGGGTGGGGGCGGGGGTGGGCTCTGACGTGTACTTCCTACTCAAACCCAGTGCGTGTTGGTGTTTGTGGGTCCATGTTTGTGCTTGCAGCTGTGACAGAGCGGTGAGCGTGCCCAGGAGCATGTGAGACACTCACGCGATCACAAAGCATCAAAATGGTGGGAGGTGTTTTCTCTGCAGATTGCCAATGAGTGGGTCCCCTAAATCCCACGGCCTGATGGTGAGCATTTGTGTGTGTGTGTGTGTTCGCATGTTTGTATGTGTGTATCTGTGCATGCATACGTGCATACCTGTGAGCGTGAGTCAGGGGGCGTAGATGGTGTCAGCCACTTTTCAGCTCCTTCCAGGTTTATTGGCAATCGGAACTGAACAATAAGCAACCCCCGTGACAGGGCATTAGCTCCGAGGGCCCCGTGTGGCATGACAGAGTTACGCTACTGACTCACCCTGCTGACCAGAGCAGGTGGGGCGCATCAGCTGCAGCGTAATAAAAGCCTGAAAGTCTCTCTAAGGCAAAGGAGAGCTAGTGCGAGGGACAGGAGGTCCTGCAGGGAGAAGTCAAGCATTTATGCTTGTTCTTACTTCAGGAAACCCTTGGACAGGTGTGTGGCAAAGGAAGTTTGGAACAATAACCTGTTGTATCAGGAGCAGGGAGAGATCCATCAGGATCTTCCTTTTGGAACTGGCTATGTCTTTGTGGTTGTGTCTCCCCCTCCTGGCCAAATTTAGTGACTGCAACAGCCTACTCCCTCATCTAAGGGAGCAGCTCCTTCAGCTCACATACCGAGGACTTGTAATGCTGAAGGTCCACGGGTCTTTTCTCTCCAGTGCTTCAGTCAGGGGAGGGAGAACCTGACCTCATTCAGACACCAATGCTTGAGGCAGAGCAGAATTACCCAGCACTGAATGGGGCATTCCCTGAATAGGAGTGTGTGTGTCACGTTGCGGCCCTAAGTGGGAAGTCAACAGAGGGAATCAAACCTATGCCTCTGAGATCTCAGAGCATGAGCTGCGACGGCCTGAGCTGAAAGACCCCTCACCCTGTAGCTGCCTCGACAACCTCTGCTTGGGTCCAGCCACTATTAGCAGGAGCCAGAACACAGCACTGAGTGAACTCAACAGGGGAAGGTGGCCACCATCTTGGCTGATGACAGCCATCTTGGCTGATGGTGGGATTGAACCAGAGCTAACAGCTGAGTCTCCCTGGCTTGGGCTAAAGAGCCAGCGGTTGCTGCTGTAACAGACTTGCCCCTCTGTGGATCGGCCATGGGGACGGGGTGCCCAATACATGCTGTCCTGGGGGTGGGTATGAGCCAGCTCCTTACAATGCCTTCCCACCCAGCCAGGAGAGACCTAAGCAGCCATGTCCAGCCTCTGTCCCCTGGAGGGGTTCTCCCTGACCCAGGCAGGACCAACCAGTGCTGCCAACCGCACCTTAGCACAGCCAGAGGCTCTGGCCTCAGGCCCTGCTGTTGCTGGCCACTGGCTTCCACCTTGTGTCTCCCCCTGCCCCGTCAGAGGCAGTTGGGAGGGTTGGTGAGAAGTTTTGCCAAGGGGAGCGGGGGGGGGGGGTCTAACGGCTAAGTCACTGGCCTGGGGCTCAGGACCGCTCGGTTCATGTCCTGGCTCTGACCCACTGGGTCAGTGACTCCCTTTCTTTGTGCCTGTGCCCTCGGGCTTTGGGGCAGGCACTGTCTCTCGCTCCGTGTCTGTGCAGCGCCCGGCGCAAGGGGCTCAGGATCTCGAGGGGGTGCCGTCATGCTGAGGACACCCGGCTTTCCGCCTCCTCGTCCTCCTGCCATCACAGCACTATCCAAACCTGTAAGTGTGTGAGCCTGGGGCTACGGATAACCGTGCAGTGAGGCTGGGAGGTTGCATGGGCGGGGAAGAGGTACCAGCAAACTACCTGCCTTTTGACTGGAGAGGTGCACGTGCCATTTGCCCCCTGCACAAGGCTGGCACTGGCCCAGTGGTTAGGGCACTTGCCCAGGACTTTGGAGATCCGTTTTCAATCCCCTGCTCTGTGACCGTCTTCCTGGGTGACCTTGGGTAAATTGCTCTGGGTCTCAATGCCCCATCAGTGCGAGCACTGCCTGACCTCCCGGCGTAGAGTGAGGATAAATACACTAAAGATTGTGGGGTGGCCTGATACTATGATGATGGGGGCCAGCTGCAGTGACATCACCTAGCTCTTTTTATCAGTCGACCTCAAAGCAGGTCGGTATCCTTAACCCCAGGGGAAACTGAGGCACAGAGCAGGGACGCAATTTGGCCACGCTCACCCAGCTGCCCCGCAGCAGAACCAGGACTGGAGCCCAGGGCTCCTAAGTCCCATGGTGGCAGCAACCGGGCTGGGGTTTGCAGCCCTTCCTTTTGGGCATGGGGACTCCTGCTCTCCCTGGGGCTGCAGGTGAAATCACTGTGTTGGGGGCAAGCCCAGCCTTGTGGCAGGAGCCTGTGAGCAAGGGCGCTTGAGTGGGAGACGGTCTCAAAGACAAGGGTGTTTCCTGGGAGGAGCCATTTGGCTACCCAGGTTTGAGAGGCCGTTGGCCACAAGTCTTGCTCCCTGAACTAGCCCGAATCTGTTGCCCTTCAGGCCAGGCTGCGAACCCCAGGGTTCTGAGGCCAGGAGGGTGTGGATAAGAGCTAGTGCAGGGGGGATCCTGCTGCAGTTGGATCTGAGTCCTGGCTGGGGCGGGGTGAGGAGAAGCTGCTGGTTTTATCTTTAGATCCACTGCGATTTTAATTGCGGGGCAAAGGTACCTGGGAACAGGGCCCCAAAGGGATCGGGTCCCTCCTGGGCACCTAAATATGGGCCTGGACTTTCCACAGAGCTTTGCAAATCGGAAGCTCAGCTCTTTGGAAAGTGGGCTACGAAGGGCCCCCTTTGGACGCTTTGACCCCAGCTGTGAGTGTCGAGTGGCTGGCTAGCCGATCCCTGGATCGCTGAGTGGGAGGGTGCTTAATAACCAGCAATCAATTGAAACAGACAGATTTATACATGGCGGCTCTGCCTTCAACGTAGGTTCTTAAAGGCACCAATGCCCCAGGTGGGGTAGTTAATGTTCCCCCCAGAGTGTGCCATAAAGGCTGGTAGCACCAACGCCATCAGCAAACCGCCCCCCCCCCCGCCCAGCGCCAAGGATCTGAGCAGCAGCCCTTTGCCAAACACGTTGTGCTAACGAGCCGTTAATGTTGCTGGATGGTGCCAGGGGCTCCTCCCATGTGCCCACGCCTCCTGGCCTGGAGCCCCTGGAGGGCACTGGGAGTGGGCGGGGGGCGGGAAGCGGCAGAGGAAAAGGGGGTCATTTTCATCTCCATCTCCCCTGCCCCCCGGTCTCTGCAGGTGTCTGAGACTGCAGGCTGCTATGAGGATTTTGCTGCAGATCTGTCTTGTGCGGCCCCCCACGCAAAAAACCGCCCCCCCCAAACCGCAGCTCATGGGCTTTTCCCAACCCAGCCCCAGTGAAACTGGTGGCTTCCCAGTTCAGCCCCAGTGCTGGGTTACCCCCTTTCCTACCCCCGCTGCCCTGCTGTGGCTGCAAACTCTCCCCCCGCCGCACTCTGCACCAGGCAGACACCTGGGCTGGCCCGAAGACCATTAGCAGTCGCTTTGGATCGCCAGCAGTAAAGCGGTTAAGGGAGATGGTAAATCTGGGCCTGTAAAACTGGGGGAGATGTCAGAAGAGTCATCTCCCATCAATCTGCATGTCATCTGATAGAGGAGAAATGGGTGATAAAAACAAGCATTTTCGGAAATTATGTAGAATATTCCATTTGTGGAGTGCTGCAGTCGGGGCCGGAGCAGAATTTTAATCAGGAGGACTGCAGTGATGGACTGCAGCATGTCTGCTGTTCTAGTGTTGCCATCAATCACCAGCACACAAAAGAGCGCCTCGCACACACCAGCTTACAGCTGTCGGGGCTGCAAGCAGCCAGGGGAAGGGTCTAGGGAGGGGGGAAAGAAAGGAAGGGAAAGAAAAAGGAGGCGGGGGGGGTTGGGATTCTGCCCCATGCGCTCGGTTCTGGAGGCTTTAGGGGCGGGAGGGGGGGATTGGGATTTATTCCAGGGGGGTTAGGGATGGAATTGTTGTCAGGGGCAATTGTGGGTGTGCGAGTGAAGGTGACACGGAGATGCTGGTGTGTCCTTCGCCCAAGCAACGTGCGGGAGTGAGCACATGTGCGTTCACACACGTGTCCGTGCCAAACAGCTGGCCAGGACCTGATCGTCTCCTGTCTGACCCCTTTTCCTGGGGTTTGGGGGTGACCCCCAGCCATCCATCCCGATTGTGTCGTTCCGGTAGGTTTCACGGGAGGGAGAAATCCCAGGTGGGGTTGGAGCTCACTCCCTCTGCGTTGGAATCCGGTGGCTGGGACTCTTCAAACAAGCCTAAGGGAATTAGGTGCCTGCGTGCCACCGGATGCCCAGGAGAGTTGGGCGCGTGACCCCCTTAGGAAAATCCCAGAGAAGAATAGACTGAACCTAGTGTAATTCAGCCAGTGACAGGGGCAGGTAATTGGGGGTTGGGGGTGAGGACCTCTCCCCACCAACTCTCCAGGCTGGTGCTTGCCTTTTGGGGGTGAGCCCCCTTGGCGTCTCATTGTGGGGGAACTGATTTGTTGGGTTGGGTCCCAGCATGTACGGGGTCGGGGGAGGGGGGGAGAAGAGGAAGGAGGTGGCTTTCTGGACCCATCTGACCCACCTGGGATTCAGCTTAGGGCTCGGGAGTCACTGGGGCGTGCGGGTCGGGGCTCTGCTGGTGCTCCCTGCTGTGTTTGTGGGGGAAGGGGATGGGGATGGACTTGGCCCCAGGGTGCAGTCCTTCTCCCAGACCATGTGGGGTCAGAGAGGCGCCCCCCCCCCCCCCCAGCACCTGATCCTCACTGGGGAGAAAGGAAAGGAACGGGGGTGGGGGGAGGGCAGAGGGTGGGAGCTTGTGAAAGGGGCTGCCAGGGCTGAGGTCAGCAAGGAACGACCTGGCTGCTCTGAATTTCACTGGCTTCCTCTCTCTCTCTCTCTCTCCAGCCATCCTCAGGCGGAGACTGAGGGGCATCGCAGAACTGTGTGTGTGCGGGAAGCCCGGGGCTGGGCTAGAAGCGGGGAGCTGTGGGTTGAGACAGAGGGGCACCGGCGGAGCTGGGTAGGAAGCGCAGGGCTGGGAAAGCAGGGGGGCCTGTGTGTCGAGATTATGGGGCCCTGGTGGAGGTGGAGCTGGGGTGGGGATCCCAAGGTTGGGATAGCAGGAGGATGCAGTTGTGAACAACGAAGTAACCGCAACCTCCATTGAGGCCTCTAGCTGCTGCTGTCCTATAAATAAGGAGAAGATCCTGGGTACTTGTGAAACTGGGCCCCTGCGGGTTTGGGTCCATCATTCCTGGAAATCCGACCGCGCTGCGGCAATAGGTGGTGTCCTGGGTCAGCCCAGGGATCCCATGCCGGGATGTCCGGTGGGTTCTTGTAACTAGTCAGCATGGGTCCAGCTGTGAGACCAAAGGCTAAAATAGAGACCCAGAAACCACAAACAGGGTGTGATCACAGGGTTTTTTTAGCCTCCCCAACATCGTCTGTTACCCAGGGAATGGGAAAATGGGGACCGTGGATTGGAAAGCTTCTCGATTTCAGGGCGGAGAATTCGAATGCCCAACGATGGAATTCCTGCATAACCCAGGGCAGAGACCCTCACCCCAGTGGTCCCTATATCCAGCCCGTGACTTCCGGCTGAGCTAGAATGTATCTTTTAGAAAAAGACTCAGCGGTGATTAAAAGAGGTGGAGAATCCACCACACTCCTAGGTGACTTGTTCCAACTGTTAATCACTCTCACTGTTAGAAATTTCTGGGACCCGATCCTGGAAGCGGTTTGTTTGGAATCTCACGAGAACAGCCATTCTTGGGGAGATTCTGGCCCACACTGGTAAGGAGTCTCCTGAGAAGAGCTGGCAAAATACAGGTTTGCATGGGACGGAGGTAAATCTGGGTCTAAATAGCAATATTTTGCCTTTGTTGCCTTTCATCTGAGGATCTCAAAGCACGGAACAGCTTTAATTCACAACCGCTCTCTTCTACCCAAGCTGAGGTGTGATTGTTCTGGTTTTAATAATTAAGAGGGCATCCAGAGGTATTGGCCAACAACTTCAAAGTTCTTGGCTTTGGGTTGTCCAGCAAAATCAAACCCTCAGGTTGCGCATCTATAATCAGTGGACGCTTGTGAGAATTTGGCCCTATGTGATTTATCTGAGGTCCGATGGGATGACCATGCTAGAGCCAGGAATTGAACCCTGGGGTTCTGTCCTCCACCTTCTCGAAACACAAGACCCCACTGATTCTTAAGGGAGAGTCTTTGTGTAGAGGGGCAGCTCGGATTGGTTAAGGGAAGAGGGAGTGGCTCAGATGTGAAGCTGATTGGCTTTCGCTATGGCCAATAGAGAACAGTTTGGTTCCCTTCATAGGGGCCTGGAAGCCATGGCGATGGGTTTAGTTGGAAAACAAATCCTGTTCATTAGAACGGGGGATTCGTCAATGCACAGTGAGAATTGGCTCTGGGCAAACTTTTCTGTTTTGGAGCTTTTTCACTCTAGAAAACAGAAATTGAATTTTTTCAGCTAAAAAAAAAGTTCTTGCCCCCCTCAAACCCAAGGGTTTGTTTTTTTTTCCACTGAAAACTGTTTTCAAAAACTGAACGATTTCCCCAGGAAAGGTAGCAAAAGAGAAAAAATGTCTAAAATTTCCTGTGAAAAACTGAGTGGGGATTTTCAACCTGCTGTTCTCGTCATTGTGTTTTTGTGACTTGGTCCGAGGCAGATTGGGGAACTCCAGGACAT